AAGTAATTTAAGATAATTCTCTTAAAAAAATAGCTTAACATTAAAAATCTCTTAATTATCATTCTGTAAAAAATGTTGATGTGAGTATTTTTAAACCATAGCTTTAATTATACTGAATCCACACATAAGTTCGATAAAATCTGTAAATGAGTCATCAAAAAACTTTACACATTACATCATTCTTTAGTTCAACTGGTCAGAGCGTTTTATTTACCGCAAAATTCTTAATTAGAGAGCATGGTTATTTTTGATAGCAGTAATTAAGTATATATGAAAAGTGGCCATATCCGTTCCTTAGACAGTTTTTCTGCGATCTTATTTCTCACCGACATACACTCTTGACACGCGGGGACAAGGGCTACAATCTTTCAAAGCCGGGAGCCATGGATGTATTAAATCAATGAGGGGGGGAAAAAATGAACAAAAAAAACCCCCGTACAAAACATGCATATAAAATGCACCTACATTATATCAGCTGATATGTTTCATGAATGAAATTGACTAACTGATGCAATTATTTGGAGGCTGCAGGCACTTCAAATGGTTAAAAGGTTTCTGAGGATTGGCTCGCATAGAAACACAAGATAGATTTCCCCCGTCGTCATTACATTGTAAACAACGGTATCTCCTTCATAAATCCTTTACAGTTACGACAGAACAAAATAGTTTCAAATGTTACGAGTTTACAAAGTTAAGACATGTGAGGATTTCAGTTAAACAAATGATTGAATTGTACTTTTTATTTTCTATATATGAATTTGTTTATTTTTTATATATTAACAAAACATTTGATTTAAGATTTTCTATATGCCACTGACATATTAACTGACTGATTCAAACCAGAAGATAGCAGATTCCACGATTTGACTGGAACTTAAAGACCACAACTGAAATTTATCGTATTATGATTTATTATATTTTTTTTCTACAACGAAAATAAAAAAAGGTTAACTTATCAGTGATTTGTGAGAGTACTATCTTAGAACCTTATGATAAACTCGACAAAACTCGTAAAAATTGCAGGAATAGATATAAAATACCCGCAACACTGCCATGAAAACTTATCTCGCTAATTTATTGAGTAACAGCGTAAATAACACATATAGTTTCAGGGGATGTTATCAGAAATTTGAAGATACATGTAAATTTCGTTATCTAGTCTTTTAGAAATGTATAAATGGTCAAAATATCAGATAAGATGGGAAGAACTTGTATTAAAATATTCATCATATGAAGTTTATATTAACAAATAAACAAATGAAAGACAAGGATTTCGTTTTTATGTCAAAAGCCCTCAAATATTAATAGTACAAAAAATATATCAAAGTTACAAAATGCAATAAAATTTCATTTTATGAGGTCTTGTCATGTTTACTTAAATCTAAGACATTTTATTTATCCTTAATCAAAACTGACCAATGTGAGTCACTACAGAATATTTTGTAACCCTTTATACACTTTTCATTCATATTGATCAACATAACTTATATCACGAAATATTACAACAGCATATCAATGACTCCAAAATTCTTGCAAATTTTCATTAAAATTTGACCAAAAAAGTGTTTTAACTATCACCCTGTTAAAACAGAAAATGATAGCCTTTAAGTCATTTCTCCCAAAGTCTGCAGAAGTGTGCAGTCTGACCATTGCACTATAATTAGTCCAGTCAGACCAGGGTTACTAAACTGGTCAGTAACTTTGATATCACCAAATTACAAGTAGATTACGGACATGTCATAAAATGGACACTAAGCAAGTTTATTTTTTACAGAATAAATAGTATGTACTTAATATCTTAATAAAGTACTTTAAACTGGCATATCAGGCAGTTTAAATCTATATAAATGATACTTTAATAAATTAGCCCTTTATAGCATAGAAATAAATTGAGACAATATGGCATATAAGTTTAAGTACTAAATTCAGCTCATTATGTGTGTAACATATTTATTTAACATGGAATGAGATAACTAAATGAATTGTGATCATATTCCTTCATTTTTGTTTAACTTCAAATTGTTTTCTAAAATTTAATTGATTGCAATGTCAGTAACTTACTACAGTAACTACCAATTTAAGAAATTAGTATTTATATGAGTAGTTAACATACCCTATTATCTAAACAATTAACATTATGATGAAAACTAATTAAATTTTTATATGTAACTATGCCATAGCTAATCCTGCATTTCAATTGAAATCACGTTTAGTTACTAGGCAATTTAAACAACTGCATGATTTTGAATGTTTTTAGGAAAGGCGTTGTGTTTCAAATTGCTTAACGCAAGTCTTTTTTTCCACTGAAAACGAAACAAATTGAAAATGTTTGCTTTATTTTTGAGATAATTATTCAAGGAGTTTCAAACAAAAGTTCATTTACCTCGCTGGTTATTTTCCATATTGTTTAAGACTCGTAACACACATAAAATATGCTGTAAAATTTGATCCATTTATCTCAATGGAATTGTTACACTCTATATATTATGATCAAAATTGATATAAATTTAAATTTACATTGATATCATGCCTTAAATGTCAAACTCAGATATCAAGGTTATGATCACTATATTCTAATTGCACAATGAATTCATTCCAACAATAAAGCATACTCTGAAGTGAATAAATAAAGTAGTGTAAATTCTAATGAAAGTGACTATGTTAAGCCTCTAAAAATTTGTCTTGAACTCATCATAGTTTTCAAACTTATTTTGAAATGTTAAAACAAGTTCAGCAATTAGTAAATAGACTTTGAACCGTCAAACAGTAAAATTTATGGTCAACAATGTAAAAAATTTATGAAAACAATTGCTTTCAAACAGTCTAAATTTAGCTTAGATAAAGCTAATTTGGTCTGGAAATATTTTCCCTAATTATCATTTTCTTTTGACAATTATAACACGTGCAGTGTCCTTATAAAATATTCACGCTAATTATCCCGCTTCATAATTAATGATTTAAAACACCAAGACTCTAGTTTAACTGTGCAATGACAAGTATTTCATGACCTCGGCTATTTAGTTCTTTAATATAACCTTTTATTTTTTCAGATTTTGAGAAAATTCTTAAAATAAACACAGTGGTATGCCGTCAAATGAGGAAAATGAATTTTCTGTATTAAAATATGCTAATTAATTACACTCTTACCCAAACATCTCACTTTTAAAAGACAGATAATAAATTAGCCAGCTAGAAGATGAGTGAAGTACGGCCATTGCCTGCCTAGATATATGATATTTAGGAACAACTGGGAGTAAAGTTTCTTCCGATTTCATGTCTAATATTTAATAGTTTATGTCAAAAATGTTTGGTTGTCTGAATCAACCAGTCCATTAATTTTTTTGAAGATGACAACTTCAAAATAAACTGTTATCAAACTTTACGTACTTTGAATAAGCCGTTTTAACAAATATTGTGCTAATTTGATTAAAGGTAACCGCCAAGTGCCAAAAAAAGATTTAATGTCAACTTCTTTACAAAGTTTCAACTTATTGTCAGCACAAGAGGAGCTTAATTTAGTGTTAAAGAAACGAATAAAGCTAGTGGGGGGTGGGGGGAACTGGCATGGCATGGCTCTGAGATTAAAAGTGACATTTATTCTTATCTCTAAGGTTTTGGATTTTTGAGGATTTCTCAATTTATGTTACAAATGATATATTAGTACAACGTCATTCAGTATATCATAAACTGTACACTGCTCGGACAATAGGAGTCATGTAACTATCTCAAATAAGTTTAAAATTGTCTTTTACACTCTCTGTGGTGTTTAAGTGAAGGTACAAAATCTAGTTGATTTACTGTCAACCTCAAATGCTGTTCAGCACTGTCAGGCTTAGCATTTATAAATATTTATCAGTCACAAACATAAATATTTATAAGATGATATTTAGACATGTAAAAGAATTAAAAGAGTTTGTACTTAATTAACATCATTTCAAATTTTGCATACAAAATGAAAATCAAGTAATGTTAACATAGAGCGTTATACAGATGTAAATATATCAAACTTTCTGACACATCTTTTGTCACAGAAATGAATAAATATAAATGTTTTGCTATTTTACATTATACAGTTTCCTTCTTTCCTTCAGAAAAATCATTTCTTATACCAAACAAGAAAATTTTGTTATTGCCTTTTTTACAGAAAGGTTATTGTCAACAGTTTAGTTAACACTGCATTAGTTGAAGCTGATGTAAGAATATAACACTTAGAAAAGTACTTTAGCAATAATAAAAGTGGAAATGCACACACACATAATTATATATATATGTAGTTCACAAGCAAGCTGTGACATAAACAGTCCACAGATTAAGTGAATAGTGAATAGACAAAAAATATATAAGACTACTTTCCTCAATAAACAGATATATGACGGAATTTGCATTCTATTTTTAAATAAATGCTTCCTTGCTGAATAGAGAGATTCAGACTTCGCCCACCAGTATAGAGCCTGGCCAGTTTGCATTTGTACATTTGTGCAGTCTCTGACTTACTGTTGGCTGACTAATTCTTGGTATCGCATGATTTTGATACAGGACCGTGAGTTACAATTAAAATAAAATGAAAGCTGGAATTAAGTCCATTTAATTATAGCAAGTTTGAGGGCTAAAATAAAATCATAATGTATTGTTTCATGTAATCAATTATTATAAAATATATTTGAGTTTTGCAAAGGTTTCTGTTTTTCTTAAATATCAAGTTATAATTAAGAATGATTTATAATAACACTTGTAAAAGAACAATATGATTATGCAAGTTAATTTCAATTTATATAGCATGACTTTTTTTTCTGTGAAATTAAACAAAATTATATTATTGAGCATACATCGTATTACATATACAGCATAAGTTTTAAAATTGAGCCTTAATTGGATCATACAGCTATAGTCTGTAAGAAGCTTAAAGAATATCAAACAATCATCAATTTGCAAAATAATTAAAATTTATATGCAAAACAAAATTTTTCATAATTTGAATTGTTTTAAATATGCCTGCTTACCTAGTAAATTACATCGCTTCGTGTTGATTGGCTGAGGTTTGAGCCTCCCATGACTGTGCCAAGCAGCCCCGACTCCGCGGATCACCGGTGATGGAGTCTTTAAAGTAATTGACGGCTGGGCTATCATATCAATCATTGTTCCAATTTATTAAATAAATTAATTGTCAATTAAATAATTAATATAAATATAATTATTTCGCATGCAACTCTTCCAATCGCTGCACTCCAGGTATACAATGACTGCACAAACACAAAAAATTTATCAACACAAATTATCAACACAACTTCATATGTTCCTGTATCAAGTTAATAAGGTCGCAAGCATCCTTATATTTCATACAAAAAAACGTGTGTCAAAAAAGTACTAAGATCGAATTCTCACACCGGGGTTTTGTCGCTGAATTTCAATTAACAGATAAATTAAAGCTTCATTCATTGAAATTAAATGAACTTCGCAAAAAAAGCGTACAATTTCATAACAGAGACATCCTGTGCAATCTAAAACTTCAACTTTCAAAACTTCCACAGTGATGGATCTAATTTACAGATCCATGCAGTAACGGTTCAAGAGTCACCAAAGTCTTATTATCTATACACGGATTTGTCAATTAAGTCAGATGAAAAGATGAATATGTAATCCCTGCTTAATTAAATTTCATAATATTCAGTGTTTTTCATCAGCCAATCAAAAGTCAGTGTCTTCTGTCATTTATCTTCTCAAAAATTACATCTATTTGCATAACTTATCCTAGTTGCTATAGCAACATTTTATCTCTCTCAACGATTGGTCAATTAGCGATTGTTGAAAATGAAAAGAAAAATATAGAAATAATCCTCTTGTCAAATAATGTGCCCTTGTTGTACAGATTACTAGTTTGTTTTCCATGAAATCTGGCACTTAATGATGAGATCCTTGTTAAATATTTGTTCACTTTCAAACCAGGACCTTCTTATGAAAGCAGAAGATGGCCTTTGTTAAAGCTTTATGTTAACTCTTGTTCTTTAACTCTGTGTCTCGTTTTCTAATTACATCCTTTTTCTTGCAAAGCACATCACAAAAGATACTTTTGTCTTACACTGTTTAAATTCTCCATAAAGTCATGTTAAAATTCAAGTCCTGGTATATCACAGCTGTGTTTATCTTTTATCAAACTTTTGCAATTTTTTCCGCTCTCCGATCATAAGACGATAACTTTATTATTTTATCTCTTTCTCAAAAAACGTCATCTCCTAACTATTTTGATTAAATAATAAATTAGAAAGCTTTACTTACATTAGTTTAAGTGTCAGGGCGATAATTAGGCCCAACATATAATAACACACATGTGAATTTTTCTTTAAGCTTATGGCCATAAAGCTTTACTCCTACTGATATTCTATGTTTTATCCAAACAGCAGCTCGCCAATTAGCTTAATAGAGCAATTAAAATACGGCAGAAATATATATTAACCAAGATTTTCTATCCCCCTCCACATCAGCTGTTTACGATCAGAACATATTATACATGTCAATCTTCTGCTCTACACTGAGAATATTCCACCTTATCACAAAAGACGTGCAGTCCATCACATGTAACAGGTAGCACATATCATGGCATTTATACTTCAAAAAAAAACTTTTTTTTTCCCATTCATGTACAAGTTTTCAAAAACTCCTTCTGTAATGTATTTCAAACTTTTAATTGTAATTTTCTAACTCATTTCAATCCAACAACCATTTAGTAGCATTCACAGAGCCACTTGTGCAACGTTTTACATGATCACCAACTTTTTTTTTCTCTCTCCAATTTTTATGAATGAGTATCCACTTTACAACCCCTGGGAAAATTGCTTCCCTCCAAATTTAAACAGATGTAGATTTTATGAATGAAATTTTACCTGACACGCTCAACCAATTCAATCGCTGCTGATAGTATACAGGCATTAGCCAATCAGCATTCACCTCATCTACATAATTAATGTAGCCCCGCCTCTGACACAGGTTTATGAATGAACTAGGATCTATATTTGGCGTAGATAGCCTGACCTAGAGTCAGTGGCCTAGAAAGTCAATGAGCGTGCAACATTAGCATTTACTAAACTTCAGATACGATGGGGTACGAAACGGGGGAAATAAAACCTAAAGCAGTACAACACGAACAAATAAACAATGTTATTTGCTTGACTCCAGCAAAAGGTGGACTATGAATCAAATACATAGCATTGGTTATGATATACATATAAATACATTACACCTATTTACATAATGAATAAGAACAGCTAGCTATCTTGGGAATAAACAAGATAACTTTGACCAAACTTTCATTCACACATTTTTGTGTGCAAGATATAGACACAGTGTGGGAATATGGGTGAAATAGAATAAACATTTTATGTTGGTCACTCAATTTCAGTAATTTTATCAACTTTGAGCAAATCAAATACATGTACATAAACTTTTGATTGAAATTGGCTTTTATCAGTTGCATAGATTGCTTCTTTCAAGCGTTATAGTCTGAATTGTTCTAACCAGTGTCATATTCTTGATTTTTTTTTTTAACTGAACATTTGAAATTATTAGTATTGTACAAGAGTTACACATTTATTATGACAGCATATGACTGCACCATCAATATACTGCACAGGCTGGTCTGGATCTGTGCTGGTTGCAAACCCATTATGTTGGTTTTGTCATGATGCGGCTCATTTATTATAACAGCATATGACTGCACCATCAATATCATTAAAATTCTCAAACCATTTCTCTAGTGTCAACTTATTTATTCATTCATTCATTCATTTTCAAAAGCTCCAGCCATTTATTCACTTTTATATTCTGCAGAAGCATAAATTTGTGGCATTGAACTCGAATGACAGAGTGAAGTCTTTTAATAGAACAATAATATTGTTATGCTAACAGATTCATTTAATATTGATAACTGCTCTGTAAAATATTCCCCTGAATTAGCATCAAAGATGTAAATGGGTATGAGAATTTAAGTAATTGTACATATGTATTATTCAAAAGGATAGGCATGACATACTATGATACTCAGTTATCTTCAAATTATAAAAGAGATAATCCAAACGGATTAAAAATTGCTAAAAAAAACCCAAAAAAAACCAGCACCGTAATCTTTAAAACCTTGAAATTTGCACTTAATTAGAACAAATCTGCATCATAGTTGCCATGCATCAAATCATATCTAAACTGGTGCTAGAAGCATGAGGGGTTGCATTTCATGTCCACAATGAATCAAACCATGTTTGTAGTTCCATTATTTTTATTGTTTTTCTCATCACCCTTCAGTGAATGATTTTCATGGATTCTGATCCATCAAATTCATTTAATCAGCAAAAAGGTCAGAAATGAAGGTAGGTTTCAAGACAACATTCCCATCCAGCTCCTGAATATTCAATAAAGCCTTCTAATTTCCCAAACTACATGAAGTTTGGTTTTAAATTGGTTCAACATGCTGGCCACAGCCATACACAATTTTGTCTTCTACATTTTTTATTTACATGTCTATAACTTTCTCAATTTACTACAGCATTTATTAAGCTTTAGATTTTGAAGATGATTGAGGAAAGTGGCTGCGCTGTAAGGGTCACTCAGATTTCGACCACTTGTCCGTCTCTGCTGCCCGGAACTTTGGATACTATCCAGCCAGTTTAAACAGGAGGTGGGTGGTTCTAATTAGTTGCCTGCCGAAAGAAATGCACATGTAAATGGGTAACTGGCATTGTCTATAGTAAGTAAAGCTAAGATAATCATTACCTGACCTAGACAGTGTGGATGTGACATAAATAAAGGGGAGAACAACATCGCAAACACCAGGTGGTTCTGAACTTGTAGTTAGAAGGATAGTTTACAGAAATGAAGTTACAGTACATGTAATGAGTATGATTAATGTAATATAATATGAGAATAAAGATCAAAAAGGAAAGTCACTACAGATGACAATATTATTAATGCAGCAATTACATAAGATATTGACAGATTAAACAGCTTAATGTGTATATAGATGTTGCAAGTAGCCTTGTTGATTGCACTGAATGAGTGCAAGGATTTCAATAAGTTACATTTATGTATGTGCATACATCGTATAAGGCTTTCCCCTACAATAGATCATCATTGCACGACCCCTATTTCACATACATTAAGTAGTTATGATAACAGTTACTTTGCATGGTTAATGATTATTGTAAACCTTAATCTTTGGACTGCCTAAAAGCTGAACATGCTAATGAATAGCATGGCCTGAGCATGCACAGCCTGTGCTGGGCTGTTTACTGTTTCCATATAGTAATGGACCTACCAATGTGGCATGCAGTATGAGCAAAGAGTTGGCACATCCGATGGTGTCTTACTATTTTCAGTTTCTGCACTTGTTTGCTATTCAGTCAGCACAGTTTCCATACAATTGATGAATGGTTTTGTCCAGATTGACAGATGAACAAGTCTTAAAGTGGGATAAGGGTTATACTATTAATCAGGACAGCATCAGAACATAGGAAATCCACATTACAGAAAGATTTCTATTTTTTTTTTGTGATTGCACTGCTGTTATTGGTAAGTCCTTCTCCTTTCTTAGCCCTTTGGGCCCTCTGATGCTCTACTGGGTGCCTTGGGGGTGTGGTTTGTTTATGCTGGGTTGTTATCTATGAATGTTACTCTACCTTGTTGATTTGTTTAGAACATTAAATTTTGATGTTTCTATATTATTGATACAAACAGCATTCAGTTACCATTAACAAAAGAAACATTAAACAAAATATTTCTGCACAAATGTATTTATTCTGCAAGTACATGTTTCTTATAATTCAATTCAAAGATGAACTGTACTTAGTCTGTATAAAGGTAAGTACAGAATGTAAAGACTTGTGGCTGCACCTAGGTCTGTCTGTGAAAAAGACTTTCAACAATACCAGTAGACGTAGACATAAGACAAATGCAGGAAGACTGTCTGTTGAATTGCAAATCCTTGCACTAACATCAAATAAAGGAGAAGAAAAAAACCCCACCTGCAAAGACCTTAGTTTTCTTGCAAGCCTTGCAATCAATGCATGCATTTTACTGCTGCATGCTTTAATGTCTTCACAATCATTGTTTCTGTGAGAAAGCAGAGTAAGGTAAATAAAAACATACAACACACTATGTCATTATTATTTTGTAACAATAATTAAATGGCAATAAAATCTCTGCAACTGTTGTTCCCTTGATTGTATTATTGCTAATTCACAGTGAAAGTTTCACTGCAGATTTGGCATTTACTTAATTTCAGGCTAGGAGCCTTTCCTGAACTCTTTTTATTGCTTTTGAAACAGTTTTGTACAAAGGACAATGTTCCTTTACAGAAAATAATTGTATAATATGTAAAAGGGCTTGATATGTGATAAACAATGTTTATTAAAATGCCATAATAGTATGAGGAAATTTGTTAACTACAGAACCTGTCAGTGCAAAGGGTGCACTCTGCCTCCAACCTTGTTAGTAGGTTCACAGTAACTTAAAAGCTCTTTTGTGTTACAATACAATGCTCAGTCAAAAGACCCTTTATTTCCAGTGCATTATTGCTTTAGGTCTATAAATTAAACTCATGACTTTCTTGTTCAACTGGACCAATGTCAGTACAACTGCTGTACCTTCATTTGTAATCAGACGCTATAGAAATGAGTCTCAGGCTCTCAACTTAATGTATTAGTAAAGGCAATATGGGTCTCAAGTTGTAACTGAGTATAATTTATGAGAGGCCACAGAAATGGGTCTAATTTAAGGCTTTATCTGAGGCTATATTAAAGTGTGTTAGAGGCCATATGAAAGTTGGTCTCAGACTGTTGTTTTTTCTGTTCTAAGTGTCTGGTATATTATTGAATGCATTTCTATAATATTCAAACAAAATTTTATTTTATGTTGTCATAATGATTAAGTTTTGTATCAAAACATCATTCCACAATGATATACACCACTTTACTGTCACATGCATTACCACGGCAACTTAATGTCACAAGATTATTCTGCTTTTAAAGTGTCACTCTGACTCTCATTTTTCATTTGCCCTGTAAGTAACGTGTCCAAAATACAGGCTGAACCAAATCTATGAATAATTCATGCTCAGGTTAGATTTCAAAACAGAAAGGAAAACTGATGTATGGCCATTATTAAATATCAGTATACAATTTTGATAAAAAACTTACTCAAGTCTGTCGTTAATGTGACTATTAAATTTCTTGTTTATAAAAGATTCAAATTATAAAGGGATGAGAATTAATTTGGTGTAAAATTACACAATAATGTTAGAAAAAATGATTTAATATACTTAACTTTCTCTATTTTGTTTAATAAGACATAATAATTACATAAAACTTATTTAATTTTCAACTTTCTTAAAAGAGATATATAGGACAGTGCAGAATATGACCAGGCAGCATGGATATGCCAGTTGATCTTGGTTTGAACCGGTTTCCTCGGTCACCAGCAGTTTACAGGGGTTAAAAAATATTATAAACATTTCAAAATTTTAAATCTGGGCAAGTCCATTAAAGAAAAGTAGCAAATTGGTAAGGGCTGATTTCCAAGGATTCCTCGCGTCCCTTGGACAACTTGATTAAGTTTATAAACTTGCAGTTTCCAGTACGCTCTACAACATTTTCAATTTTGTTGTTATGGGCGTTCTTTAAGGGTTTTGTTTTTCTCTTATCAAACAAACTGTCCACAATTTTACTCAATGTACATAAACATAGTCTTTGTAAAATAAATTAAATTTTACTACAAACATTTTTGGCCTGGGCCTACCGCAACATCTTAATTCAAATACATGTATATTGTTATTTTAGTTTTGCTAAAAATAGATCGGCTACAATCGCCATTCTTTGTAGAATTAATGATAAAAATTTTCCTTTATTTTCAAAAGATGATAAAAGTTACAGTAAGGCATTAAACATGTTGTATATCAGTGTACTGGTATCAACTAATATTTGACTTCAGAGACATTTGGTCAGCCATTAAGATAAACCCCTATTGTTATCTTTAAAATAAACAAAAATCTATGAATGAAAGCAAAGGAAGATGATATACCCTTATTCGGGGGCCCCATAGAAACTTCCTTACTCAAATAAAAATATATTCATGAATGGGATCTTAGCTTTGAGGTACTACCATAGGGTATA